CAATAGAGCAAGACCCATACCAATGCAAATCTCTATAGCATATCCCCTTTGAATGTAAAGAATAATTTATAAACAATATTTGGGAATATGGGTGTAGTTATCCAAGCTGCTTCCTGCTGTTTATTGGGCAAAGTAATTTTTTGGAATGTTCAGAGACTTTTCAGAGGTGTCTTGGTCCATCAAACCACATTAGCCTGGAATGAATACACAGGCTCTCATCCTATGTGAAAACCAAAGAAGAACCATTTTTTCCAAAGCAACATATCTTTAGATCGATATTTTGAAATCAAGATAGCTTTAAAGTATATATGTTGGATTATCTTAGCAATCCATAAAATTAAATGTCTCTCTGTACTTAGCTCCTTCACAGTCAAAAGTTTCAAAGAAGATACAATCATATACATAATCCAGACTCTCTGTGGCTATTCCATCTTTACATGGTTTATTTATTTTTACTCATTTTAGTCTATGACTGTCTGTACTCTGCCTGTTTAAAGACTTTGTTTTATTTTTTAACAATTTATTTCTCTTTATAACTCTCTATACTCTGTTTCTTCTCTCTCCCAAGTACATTTATCCAAGAGGGTCTTTTATGTCTGATTCTGTTCTATTGTGTATCTGTAATTCTTTACAGTCAAGGAGCACTTATTAAAATGCTAAATGCTTCCTAAAAACTTAAACTGTGTCATTACTAGGGTACATACAGCCCTACCTGGTTGTTCTGTACAATCCAACATGACTGAAGTCTGTTCATTGCCTGAGACTGCTGACAGGAGCCTTTCTCACCATTTAAGCTCTGATAAGCAGTAACCAAGTAACTTGCAGCAAACTGTCCACAAACCTCATTTAAATGCTCAGCTTCCTAAAAGAGCCAGAGATCACAATGGCAGCATGGCCCAGAAAGCTGGCATTTTAAAACTGCATTTTTTCTCCTACTGCTGAATCAGAAAAACCCCTCTTAAAGGAGCCATGCCGCTGGTTGTTTCTAGCAAACAGAGACCACCCAAGAAAATGCTACTACCAAACCATGCTTAAGTCTTTTCCTTTGTGTCTAGGATTCCTTTCTAAGCTTTCTCAGGTTTTACACAGATTTAGTCCACCACATTGGTGTGCCAATTTGTAGCAGGAGGCTGCTTTTTGGCTCCCAGCTGCTCAGCCCCTAAATAATCACACAGAAAGTATATTAATTAAATCACTGCTTGGCCCATTAGCCTTAGTTTCTTATTTGCTAACTCTTACATATTAATTTAACCCATCTATATTATTCTGTGCATAACCATGAGGTCATGTCCTACCAGCAAAATTTTAGTACGTCCATTCTGGCAGCAGCTCTATGGCTTCTCTCTACCTCTGCCTTTTTTATCCCTGCATTCAGTTTAGTTTTCCCTACCCAGCTCTGTTCCCCTATACTTTGCTATAGGCCCAAATCTGTTCCTTTATTAACCAAAGATATTCACAACATATAGAGGGGAATCCCACATCATCCATGACTCTGCCATAGGCATATCTGCTTGGAATTCCCACTCTGCTCTGTTCTGTACTGCCATAGGCCCAAAGCAGCTTCGTTATTAACCAATGGTAATAAACATATTCACAGCATACAGACTTGAATCCCACATCATAAGGGAAATCTGTTCATGATGTACTTCAAACCATTGATCAGATTTTTGTATATGACCATTATCTTGGTCATAGTTGTGTTACTCAAGGATGGGGGTAAGTGATGGAGACACTACTTGGCCACCAAGACAACTGACAAACATATGTGTAGCTCAGTCTCATAACCACAGCAATATACACATTTTTTGTAAGAGACCATATACCTACAATATGATTGGCAGTGATGTGGGCAGATACTCAAAGTTGTCTAATGAGTGCATAGGTCTCATATGCTGCTGCATGGAGCTCTGTCTTTAGTCATGGTCTGTGTTCAGAGCTTCTTTTGCTAGTAGTACTAGATCATTTTCTGAAAGACTTGGCATGGAGCTCTAAACAAAACCCTCTACTCTTCTCATTGCATTCTTTGCAACAGGTAAAATCTTACTCCTCCCTCAGTCTCCCACACACCATTGAAGGGTGGGTATTAAAGAAATATGTTTTCTATTAGAGAATGCTGCTCTAGAGACTCAACTGTGATCATAGATTTGGAGGTAGTCAAGCATGGGCTCTATCCAATACTGAACTTCACAAAGCAGATCTGATAGTAGCATTTGAATTAAAGCTTAGACTTAATTTTTTCTCAGTTCCCCAAACTTATCCATGTGCATATTATGGTGGTCAGAGTTAGGAGTAGTATTACAAGCAGCCATTTCCTTTTTATCTTCATTAATGTACCCTGTAATTTAATCATACTACAATGATAAACTTTGTTGTTTACCCATTTCCTTAGCTGTTGTTAATAGCTGTGCATCTTCATGTGACTATGAAGGAATAGTCACTAAGAATCATACTGAGCCAAAATACTGCTCTCTTCTCATTTTATTAACTCCATATACACATTGGAAACTCTAGGTTGATAAATAAACAAATATTTTAAAATTTTAAACTTTTATTTTCTATATGCTTGAGTATTTTTATTAATGCAATGATGTAGATACACTGAATAAGGTTTGGAAGTCAGAATAATACCCTCATGAGTTAATTCTCCAGAGATACTTTGTGAAAATCAGAATTAAATCTCTAATCATCAGTTTGGAAGCAAGAGTTTCTGCCGTGAGTCAGCCCATAAATAAATATTAAAAAGAATATCATGACAGGGCAAAAAAATATTATAAATAAAAACATTCAATTGAGCCAAAGAAGATTAAAGAATATCAGAATGCAAAAGATCAAAATATTGAATAAAGGAGAGATTATAGTTCATTGTTCATGAAAACCTGTGCTCAATACACACAAGTACAAACATAAATGAGTGAAATATCTCAAACACATAAGAGCTATGTATTTTCAATAATAATTTACCTATATAAATATGCATTTTAATATGCATTGTCTTATATAGAAACTAAATATAGAGACTCGAGGTACATTAAATATAAAGACCAACAGGGTTATCTAGGAGACTCCTAAAACATACAGTTTATTTCTCTTTGTTTCCCTACCTGAATCAAGAGGTTAGACCACAGTGTTCAGGACATAATGCAGTTTAGACACAGAGTGCAGAGGCCCCTGAGTTGGAACTGACTTGAATGCCTCTTCCATGAGAACTAGTTTTAGAGACCAGAAGGTAATGTACAAAATTTCAATGGAAAGGAACAACCAATAGTCCTATTCAGCTATAAACTACAATAATGTCCAACATGTTATGATCACCATAAGGGTAAATAGTGGTACACATACCTAGGAGATAACCAACAGTTCTGCAATTACATTTGAAATGAGCTCTTTTCATGAAAGAACTGAAAATTTAGTTATCAACCCAGGGATACTTAAGTCATTGATCTTGGAGGAGAATTTGTAACCACCGTTTGACTAAAGCAGGAAAAGCATTCACTAAAACCTAGATTTTTGTACTCATACTCATTGATAAGCATAGTCCCCACACCTCATCAAAGAAACTCCTTTTAAGCTGGGTGGTGGTGGCACACACTTTTAATCCCAACACTGGGGAGGCAGAGACAGGCAGATCTCTGTGAGTTCAAGGCCAGCCTGGTCTTCAAGAACTAGCTTCAAGACAAGCTCCAAAGTCACACAGAAACCCTGTCTCAAAAGACCAAAAAGAAAGAAAGAAAGAAAAAGAAAAAAATCTTTTTGCAAGAGACAGAGACCAATACAGAAAACCACAAGTAATCAAAATATAATTGTGGAGGTTGTCAGGCCCAGTAAATACATATATAATGCAACTCATGTATCTAAGGCTTTGGTATCATTGAAGTACAGGTGAGGGGTGAAAGAAAGTTATTAAAAACAAGAGGACCTAGAAGTTTGTTGTGAGGTAGTGTCTCTTGGTAATATCAGAAGCTACACCCATACAGTCTCACTGATGTGATTGACTAAACATGAGCTGAACAAGATAGCAAAAATAAGCATGCCAAACTGATGGGGGTAAAACCACAAGGCCTGGGTCCTAAACAACAAACTACAAACAATTAAGGAATGTTGAAAGTGGGAGAAATAGTGTTCCCCTAGGAAGAACACACCAACCACCTATGAAAGTATCAAGTGTGAAAGCAAATAAAATATAGACCAGCACATTATTTATAGGAATATATGTGTATGATGTATATAATAGCAGTCCCTGATAAAAGAGATCATTATGATAATACAAAGCAAGTAGGAAGGTATGAGATGATTTGGAGGGAGGAAAAGGAAGGGAAATTATGATAATCTCAAAATATAAAAGAAAAATATAACATGAATATAAAGACCAAAAAATTTTGTCACCAGAGGCATATTTGAAAATAAAGCCATTTCAGCTTAATATTAAGTGACAGACAAATATTATACACAAAATTATGTTTTGCAAGTTTATTGAATAATTATTCACAATATCCAAGGCAGCGTTTTAAACAAGACAAGGAACAATGGATTATTAATCATGAATCTGTGGAAGTCACATACTGAACATGATTACTCAAATGCTAAGACCAAGGAGTCCTGGTCATTTGCTGTAGTATGGGCGGTTTAATGTACATTGTCTTATGCCTTTAAGATGAATGTGAGGAGAAAATATCACACACTCTCATTTACAAGTAGACTGCATATTAAAGAGTCAATGTATAGAGAATGACAAGATGATAACAGCTTAGTCTTTTGGTGAATAAGGTATAGAAAAGGAAAAGCATAGGTCAATAACATTGTGTACTATAGATGCAAAATGAAGCGACATTTTGTCTTAGTTAATTTTCTGTTACTGTGATGAGACACCATGAACAAGATAACTTTCAAAAGCAAACATTTAATTTGGGGACTCATCCTTCAGTCCATGACCATCATGGCAGAGAACTTGTCAGCAGGCAGTCAAGCAAGCATGGAAATGGATCAAAAACTTACATCTGAGCTTACTTCTGAAACACAGGAATGTTGTAGAGAGAAGGAGAGAGACAAAACTGTGAAGGACTGGTTTTTAAAATCACAAAAGCCTACCCCAAGTGATATATCTCCTCCAACAAGCCCTTATCTCATGGCCTTTCCCAAACATTCCATAAATTTGGACCAAACAATCAAATACATGCACCAACTTGACTCATTCTATTCAAACCAGAACAATTCCCTCATTGGCATCTATAGGCTTTCACTGATATCATAAGAGCCTGGCAGTAGGCCAACAAGTAGGTAGGCATAGTACTGAATAAATAGCTGAGTATATTCATCTGGTCCACAAGATTAAGACAGAGAGAGGAAGGAAAATTAAGAGAGAAAGAAGGAAAAAAAGAGAGGAAATGGAAATAAAGGTTTTTGAAACCTCAAAGTGCACCTCTGTTGTCGGAGGCTTTCTGTCCTGCCTGGTTTGTGTCCTCCCACCAGTCCCACAGCCTTTTAGCCCCAAAGAAATTACACAGAGGTCTATAATAATGATAAATTGATTGGTCCATTAGCTCAGGCTTCTTATTAACTCTCATAACTTATATTAACCCATTATTCTTATTTATGTTAGCCACATGGCTTGGTACCTTTTTCAGCAGGGCAATCACATCCTCCTTCTTCTGCGATTGGGGAGGAATGGGCTTCCTCTTTCTCAGAATTCTCCTGTTCTCATTGACCCACCTCTACTTCCTGTCTGGTTGTCCTGCCTACAATTCCTGCCTGTCTACTGGCTGATCAGCATTTATTTAAAACATAATTGACAGAATATAGACAATTGCCCCCCCCCCCAGAGACACATCTCCAAAAACGAGTTCCCACCTCCTCATCATTTCTAAACAGCTTTACAAAGTGGGGACCTAAATTAAAATATACGGCCCTATGGGGGCCACTGTAATTCAAACCACCACAGTTGTAAACAGCATGAGATCTCTATGAAATAATAGTGCATTGCACACAAATCTTTTGCTAAAATTAGAGTTTAATCACAAAGAAAGAAATGAATATTTACATGAGATGATGTATATATTAGCTTGTTCAACTGTAAAAACCATTTTACAACGTGTATACCAATCTTCATGTTACAAGTCTCCAATCTATAATCTAAATTTTAGTTCAGAACAGAAATATGGACAGTACTGACCTCTGAGGGAAATAGTTATGACTATACAGGAAATGGAATAAGCAGAGTAAAGAGACCTTCTGGGCCTTCATTGCATCTCAGTCCTCTACCCAAACTCTCTTAAGGAAATTTGTCAGTTTTCACTTCTGATCTGGTCAAACTGTGCTCTCTTAACTGTGCTTCAGTTGAAATTATCACACACTTCAGCTTTAAAATGTAAATATCATTTCATAGAAAAATGTTACTAAAATAAGCATGTTTCAAGTAATAAAGATATGGACTCTGTTAATGGCATAAATTTGAAGCAAGTTTGATTTCAAGGAAACCTAGTCTAAAAAACCTCAGTAGAAATTTGTCTTAAGGGATTAGACAGTTAGGGAGAAGGGAATCATGGCCAAGAAAAGTGGAAAATAGAAAAGACATGACCAAGGAATATTAAGCAAGGTCTTGTGAAGGGAACCAGAGTCAACATTCTCTTTCTGCCTTCAGATGTGCATGCATCTCAATGTGCAATGGCTCTCAATACAATACCTCACCAGAGTCTTCCAATTTGGAAAAAGACAAACACAGTAAAAATGAAGGTAAGGAAGGGTGTAAAGAAGTTTAAGACAGACTTCTCTTGAAATCGTGTACTTGTTAACTAAGCAAATTGTGTAAGAACAATTATAGCTACATAAAACAGCTATAGCTCCATAAATTTTTCAAAACTTATAGAAATTAATAAGAACTGACATTGTAAGGTATATCTATTTAATGCTTGAAGCACTGAAAAAGATTGTTTATAAGAAAGAATGTTTAGCAAATTATAACAATTATTTAACCAGTATAATTTCAGTGACTAAAGAAAAGCAACACCTTTCTGCATTTTTATGTGTTCTCATGAAGAAGGGATGTCCCAACTGTAGGAACAGTCCTTGCCCCGAGAGCACTTACAAGGAGCCCCTTCAAATAGATATGATGAGGCCTTGTGCAAGACAGATCCAGAAATTCTACAGTCAGTATTTGCATAAAAAGTTTTGTGGCAGTCAACTTTCACAAAAATGATTTTTTAAAAACTGATTGAAGTCAGGTGACAAATTGAACAAAGTTATGAAAATATCCCACACATAAGAAAAAATTCTCTCTCAAAACTACTTCTCTCTAGGCAGAGTATCTCTTAGTTGCTGCACCAATGTGTTTACAGGCTCTTCTGAAGAGCCTCTCTCTCTATCTTCCTCCTCCTCAGGAGTGTCCTGCAGGGCTCTCTGCAGAAACAACTTCAGAGTCTTCTGCTGGAACCTGCGGTGCCTGATGGAGCCAACAAGGAAGTAAATGATGGGGTTGGCACAGCTGTTAACACAGGATAAAAGTACTATAACAAAACCATCACAAATTTGAATAATCGGAAATCTCTCAAGCAATTTGTTGAGAAAGGAGAACCCCAAGGGGAGACCAAAGATCAGGAAGAACAACACTGTGAGTACAATGATCACACACAGCCTGGTCACAGGGATCCTCTGTGAGCCACAGAATATCTTCACAAGCAGGGTGAGGCTGGACACACAGAGAACAACAAATAAAACAATTAACCAGGAATCTGTGAAGTATCTTGATGTCTGACACCAAAAAACATCAATACTATTAAACAGAAGGCCACAAGCCTCCCCCTCCAGGAGACTCAAGAACAGGGACAGAGCCCAAAGCAAGGCACATGTGACAGCTGATGTGTGCCTTGGGCGCTGGCAGCGATACCAGATGGGCCACAAAACAGACAGGCAACGTTCAGCACTAATGGCACTGAGAATGCTCATGCCAGAATAATAAGTAAATCTTGTCACAACAAAAGAAAACAAAGGGATATAGAAGGACATGGAGTAGAAGATGTAAACAACAAGAAACAGGCAATATATAAACTGAACACTCAGGAAGAGAAAGTCAGCCACGGCCAGGTTAAGGATGTAGACAGAGAAGGCATTCCTACGCATGTGGAAGCCCAGCAGCCACATCACTATGGCATTTCCTGCTATCCCAACCAGTATAAAGACAAAGGAAAGATAAATTGTGGTTTGGAACGTGATGTGACAATATGAAGAATTAATGTAGATGTTTCCCTTTGGTGCTGTGATGGTAGTCTCCCAGGTTGAGGTGTTGGAATCCTTGCTTAGGAAATCTCCACTAGTGCTCCTGGAAGAAAAGAAAAAGACATGAGCACATGCTGTGTACTCTCTGATTCCCAGGACTACCCTGCTCTGTGGTAGTGACTGAGATGGTTCATGAGGAGTAGAAACAGAATTTTAGAGATTAAGAAATTTATCAAATCCAATGTTTCTGGAGCCTTAATTTAATTATAGTTTGTATTTTGGGGGCTATCTTCAACCTGTGGCTGTACTGGCATAAGAGTAGTTGGTGGTCCTGTAGACACTCCATGTCTAGTACTATGTGAGAAAGAAGCAGAACCATGAAACCAAATTTCTTTCTGTCCTAAAACTGATCCTTCTCTGGTACAGGAACTTGGAACCAGAAGCATGACCCTCAGCTGCTCTCAGTTCTGGCAGGGAAAAGCTTTCTTATGGGAAAATATGGATATCATGAAAGAGAGTGATGAAGGAAATGGCAAATCTTACTGTGACCAATATGAAAAGAAGCTGACCTACAGGCAAAGGCAAATAAGTCTCTATTTCAGTTTGAAACTAGAAGTTATGAAAGTCTTTGAAGACATTAAACACATTTTTGTTGTTTGTTGCTATATCAGAGTTCTGCATTTCTCTGTTAAAACTTGGTGAGAAATTAAGACTTTTCACTGAACATATGAATATATTAATTATAGACCCAATAGTAGTTACATTGAGAGTAAGCTCTATTGAGAGTAAATGATTTGCATATATTTTAGAGCATGTTAGTGCCACAAAATACATAGAAAAGGAAGAAAATTTTATTGCTGAGCTCTCTGTTAGTAGAAAATTCATTTGAAAGAATGATTTATGCTACAAGATGACTAATGATGGGATTTGTGATCCCCAAACCCAGGAATGTCCAGTCAATCAATGCCAATAAATAAATTGATGACATTAAAGATTTTCAGCCCAGAATTTTGCCATTGATTTGAGGTTAACTGAACTTCTAACCCTTTTACAGAAAAAGAAAAGGAAATTTGTTGAAAAGGGAAAAGAGGGAAAGAAGTGACACCTGCTTAGATAGAGGGACTGTGACACCGAGAATACAGAGTATAACAGAAACCATCTGCCAGGCATGGTAGCTTACTTATGGTATACCAGAGAGTAGAAGATGAGCCAGGAAGAATTCCATGAGTTCACGTATAATCTAAATTACACAGTGGGGTATAGAAAAGCCTGGCTTGAAGGTAAAGAAAAAAACAGAAACAATTGATGAATGAAAGGAAGGGAAAAAAAAGGAGAGAGGAAAGGATAGACGAAAGGAAGTAGGAAGGGAGGGATAATCCAACAATAGTAGACTGGCAAATGTACGTGAAAAAGAATGAGCCTATATATATATAGGCTAAAGGACACAGGCACATGTGTCATTTTACCCACAAAGTGAAACCTTTCCCCAAAATAACAGAGTTCTGTATAACATCTTAGAGCAGGAGGAGCACAGAAAAATAATTTTCCACATCCTGAGAGAATATGTAACTGTCAATCAAGCATCACAACCATCCTCATAGAAACCACTCTCATTGTTTACACCCTCTTAGGGTTACCTTAGCTATTCATCTAGATACACCTCCTTAGTCTTCTCTGCAGGTACTCACAGGCCTCTAATTAGAAACTCCCTCCCAAATAGTGTTCCTGTGGGGTTCCCCCAAAAGTTTGTAGTCCATGACCAACATGGGCACTCCAAAATGTTGACCAAAAACTTATACCAAAATATGTAAGCAAGAAACAAACTCCAGATGCCCAGGTCTCATTGTAAAAGTGCAAACAATCAGAAAAATAGAAACAGTATGTTTCTTATAAAGTCCATGAATTCTGTAGTATGTACCCAAAGAGAGTACAATTTAGATGAAGCTCTCAAGACATGGGATTCAAAGAACAATTTAAAGTATGCAATGGAGGTAAAGAAATTCAGAGGATTGGAACAAACACTTGAATAAACTTAAAGGCAACAGAAATAAAGACATGACTAAAGTGAAAACAACATTATGCCCAGCTATATACACATCAGAAGGCTGTTGTCTAGAAAAGAAATAGACTCAAAGAAGAAAACACCAAAATAAGAAGCTACACAATGAATGAATGGACTATAAATTTAGCAGAAAATCATGAAAGATGAAATAAAAACATCTGTTAACATTTTGAGAATTGTTTAACATTAGTGGCCATCAAGAAAATTGAAAATAAAGCTGCGTTGAGATTTCATCTTAAGTCAAGCAGAATGGCTATCATTAAGATTCCAAAGAACAAGAAATGGTGATGAAGAAAGAGAAAGCAGGGAAATAGGAACACTCATTTACTGTTGTTAGTGAGAATGCAAACTGAAACTACCACTATAAAAATCAACGGTTATTTCTCAGAAAGTGAGATAGAATTGTATAGTAAGTGTACTAGTTAGCTTCATGTCAACTTGATACACACTAGCACTGTCAAGGAGGAGAGTGGCTCTATTGCTAAAACGACCCCATAATATCAGGCAGGACATAAGCCTGTAGGGCGTTTTCTTAAATAGTGATTGAGGGGAAGGAAGGGCCCAAAACATTATGAGTATGAGTGGTGTCATCTCTGCACTGATAGTTCTGAATTCTATAACAAATATAGTTATGTGGTCAGAGACTAGGCAAAACAAATAACACTTTTAGGGAAAAGGTCTCAGAAAGCATCTTACCTTTTCTCCATTCTGTTTACAGGAGGTGGGAAGCTCATCTGTCACACACAGGAATGTCTGGTGAGTCAGCCGCAAACAGGAAACATGTCTATAGCGCAGAAACTGTAAAGAAAATTGTGCTTGAGTAAGGATAATCAAGAAAGGAAGAAAGATTTGTAGATTCCTGCACTTGGATCTGGTTAAATGAGTGTCTCTCCTTTGAGTCATGCTCTTTATAGGACTGTTCTCAATATTCGGTGTGGTCCTTATCTCATATCCAATGGCCAAGCCAAATCCTATAGATCCTCTTCCTTCATTGTGTTTCTTTAACCCAGAAGGACAGTAATGTGAAACTGTGCTGTAGCATTATCTGTGTATCCATCCTAACTTTATGTTTGCAAAACTAGAAAACAATGAGGCAACGAATATAAAGATAATGATCATATCTAATGAATTTGTAGAATAGTGACTTGGAATACAACAGGTAGGTGTCTTTATTTTTGAACTATAATGCTTCCATCACATGCCTGTCAAGGAAGGGACCTAAGAAATGTGTGGCCTTCAGGCTCCTGAGGCATATTCCTTACTGCTAAAAAGCACAAGACAATCAAGAAGGAGGTCAACAAAGGGCTCAGCACCAGAGCCATAAAAAGAAGTCAAGATGCTGTCTGCAAGAGTGCTGGATAAACATGATTCTGTCAAGGTAGAAATGAAGGAAATGAAAAAGGCAGCAGAAAATAGTAAACCTTCAATAATTTGGTGCAACTAGACTCAAAACCAAGAAACTGGTGATTTAATTTGAATGAATGAGGAATGCTGTAGGAAGGCTTGTAGCTTATGGATACCCGACACTGGGGTGTGGCCTCTTATACTATATAGCACACGAATGCGTCTGCCTCCCATCCTTTCTTCCTCCTTTTCCCTGGCTGCTCATTCAGAGTGTTGGATTGTGGGATTCTATTCCGTCCACCATTCAAGCACAGAATTTTGATTTGTGAGTTTATCTCTAAATAAAGAACTATGTATTTCTCATTTCTGAGCTAGTGTGCGATTTCTTTGAAGCATCCTTTCATTACCTGGTTTGATCATCAGGGGAACAGCAATGGGAAGGGCCCAGACTCTGAGAAAGCAGGAGAGAAAGGAGTCAGGTCTGTGTATTTTCAGATGCACCTCTCAGAAGTTCCTGAATCCCATTTGTTCATCTGAGACACCTTAACTGTTTTGCAAAGGCAATTTTTAGTAGCATTAGAACACTTTTCTTTTTTCATTATACTGACATTTTTGTTTGTATGGGACAGTTTGATGAAACATTTACAGATATGCGTGCTCTGCATTTGGAGGACAGAGATTAGTGTCTTGAGTCTTTATCCCTCTCCACTCTTGAGGAAGATCTTCCATTTAACACTGGAAACAACCTACTCAGCTAGTCTAGTTAATGGTCATTCCCCAGGAACATCCAAGTGCTATGAATATAGGCAGGTCACAACTTAGCATAAATGTGTATGATGGGGATTTGAGTGCAGGTCCTCACATTTGCAGAGCAAGGGCTTTACCCACAGAACCACCTCCCATGGGTGTCTGGGAGTATTTTATGATGGGGGACATAGGATCTCACCTTTGTCACCATTTAAATGTCATGATTTTTTAAAGAGATGAGATTTTTCATTTTACCTGTTTGTTTAGTTTTTGTTTGCTTATTTGTTGGTTTGTTTTGTTGATTGGTTGGCTTCTTAATAACTAGGAAATAATGTGATATGGATTAGATAGGGAAGACATTCCTGCCTCCTCAGCAAACCAGTAGCACAGCACAGTCTGTTTCCTGTCAGGCCACCAGGCAAGAAAGCTCACAACCAAATGACTGCATCCTGGGTCCTCTATACTTTGACAAAAGGTTTCTAATGACATTGGAATATTCAGTAGTCTCAATATTGCAACCCAGTATCCCGAGTCTTATTATGTTCTAAAAAGAGAATAGAAGTCTGAGCAGGCCAGGTGGGGCTGTGATAGGACTCTGGGTTAATCACTGCTTCTATCCAGGAGCAGGAGAGGAAACTGGGGCCCTCAGTCATGAAGCAAAGCCACCCTCAGTGACTGGAAAGCTCCATTCTAGAGGTAGAAAGGAAATCATGATGGAGTCATGAAGGTAATAGCACAGCTATTGCTAAGATGTATGTGGGGATACCATACTTCCTGAGTATGAATTGTCTAAAGGAGTTACATTGTGGGGACAGGAAAGCCTTTTATATTTTATGCATTCTGAGAACCCACTTTATTTTTTAAATAATTAATTAATTTATTTATTAGAAATTTCCACCTCTTCCCCACCTTCCTTTTCCCTCCTCCTCTCCACTTCCCCCTCCCTCTCTAGTCCTAAGAGCAGTCAGGGTTCCCTGCCCCATGGGAAGTCCAAGGCCCTTCCCCTCCATCTAGGTCTATAAAGGTGAGCATCCAAACAAACCAGGCTCCCACAAAGTCAGTCCAACCAGTAGAATAAAGACTCAGTGCCGTTGTCTTTGGCTTATCAGTCATCCTTCATTGCCAGCCACATTCAGAGTGTCCAGTTTGATCACATGCTCCATCAGTCCCAGTCCAGCTGGCCTTGGTGAGCTCCCATTAGATCAGTTCCACCATCTCAGTGGGTGGACACACCCCTTGTGGTCCTGACTTCCTTGCTCATGTTCTCCCTCCTTCTGCTCTTCATTTGGACCTTGGGAGCTAAGTCCAGTGCTCCAATGTGGGTCTCTGTCTCAGTCACCCTGACACCAAAACCACACAAAGCCTTAACCAAGAATTACAGACCAATCTCACTCATGAACCTTGATACAAAAATAAAATAAAATACTGGCAAACAGAATCCAAGAACACATCCAAAAAATTGTACATTATGATCAAGTAGGCTTCATCCCAGAGAGGCAGGGCTGGTTCAATATATGAAAATTTATCAATGTAATCCATCATATAAACAAACTGAAGGAAATAACCATATGATCATTTCATTAGATGCTGAAAAAATATTTGACCAAATTCAACACCCCTTTATGATAAACGTCTTGGAGAGATTAGGGATACAAGGTTCATTCCTAAATATAATAAAACAATATACAGCATGACAACAGCTAACATTAAATTAAATGGAGAGAAACTCAAAGCCATCTCACTAAAATCCGGAACAAGACAAGGTTGTCCACTCTCTCCATACTTCTTCAATATAGTGCTTGAAGTTCTAGCAATAGCAATAAGACAGCATAAAGAGATCAAGGGGATTCAAATTGGAAAGGAAGAAGTCAAACCTTCATTATTTACAGATGATATGATAGTGTACATAAGCGACCCCCAAAACTCTACCATATAACTCCTACAGCTGATCACCACCTTTATTACTGTGGCAGGATAGAAGATTAACTCCAAAAAATCAGTTGCCCTCCTATATACAAAGAACAAAGATACAGAGAGGGAAATCAGAGAAACATCACCTTTCACGATAGCCACAAATAGCATAAAATATCTTGGGGGTAACTCTAACCAAGGAAGTGAAAAACCTATTTGAAAAGAACTTTAAGGTTTTGAAGAAAGAAATTGAAGAGGATACCAGAAAATGGAAGAATCTCCCATGCTCTTGGATTGGGAGGTTCAACATAGTAAAAATGGCAATTCTACCAAAAGCATTCTATAGATTCAATGCAATTCCCATCAAAATCCTATCAAACTTCTTCACAGACCTTGAGAGAACAATAATCAAGTTTATATGGCAAAACAAAAAACCCAGGAGAACCCACTTTCATGTGAAAGTTATACTAAGCGTTCATGGAATATAGGGTCAACATAAGAATAATGTAAGTAAGGTGGGAAAAGCAGGAAGGAAGGTCAAAGAAAGGAGGAAAGGAAGGATGAAGCAGGGGAAAGCCTTATTGTAGTTGAAATTTTGAGTCAATGTCACACAGATATTTTGTTGATAAATTAGTTCTTTTATAATTCTGCAATACGCACTGCGTTCTGGTTAAGCTCCCTCTCCTCTTTCCCTGCCACCCTTGCCAACCCACTTATTCCTCACAAATATCAGTTACATATTCATGACTTTTGATTTTGTTTTGTATTCCAGAATTAAAGTAGGGTCAATATGTAACCATGAGTTTAGAACTGGTGGCTCAAAGGAGCTGCAAAACTTGAAACAATGGTTTCCCTGGTCCCAGAGTCTGCCATCTTTCTACATTTCAGCAGTAAGTTTCTGCACTCATGGCCCGCTTCGCTATCTAAAGTTGACTGTTTGGGGGACCAGTAGGCAAGACATCTTGAGTTCATGATTGTCACAACCCTGTCATTCTTAAAAGATGCAATTTCACAACCTTTCCCTATCATCAGCTTTTATGTTCTTTCAGCCCCCTCGTTGGTACCAATCTCTGGACCTTATGAGGTGATGGCATAATTGCCTTGTTTGGGGTCAAACTCTGCACCATGCTATATTCCTAGCACCTTGTACAACAATAGGTCCTGATTAACCCTGCATTCCATGAAACCAACAACTTTTCTGAATAGGATTGGGAGTACCCTTTGTCTTGGAATGTAAACATTAATACTTGATGTGGCTTGATGTTAAGTCAAATTAACTAAGAAACAGTAGTAGTTTCACACTAAGGTCTTAAGATCTGCTCAGCCATAAATTAATGACTGGATTTACAGTACAGTGCTCTAATGAGTCATTTAAGAATGCACAGTACAAGTGAAGTCAGCGCTTTACAGAGCCCATTAAGGTGATTACTGTTAACATTTTCATTTTACTGACAAGGAGAAGGAAGCACAGAGGTGTTTGTGACATGTTCCAAGAACATAAACTTTTTTCCATGACTCTGTATTAGGGTCTTACTTTTACATTAACCCTCTCTATCAATTTCCAGTGGCTGTGGCCAATTAAATTGGTGTAAGAAGTACTTCTGTATGTGTGTTGCTTTTATTGGTTAATAAAGAAGCTCTGTTCACCAGTGGTGTATTAGAATATAGCCAGGATGGGATATATATATATATATATATATATATATATATATATATATATATATATAGAGAGAGAGAGAGAGAGAGAGAGAGAGGGAGAGAGAGGGAGAGAGAGAGAGAGAGAGTAGGAGAAATCAGGGAGATGCCATGTAGCCACCCACAGGAGCCAGATGCCTCCACTGGAGCCCACCAGAACCTTGCCAGTAAGTCACAGACATGTGACAATACACAGATTAATAGAAATGGGTGAATTTAATATATAAGAGGTAGCCAGAAATATGCTTAAGCTATTGGCCAAAGAGTATTACAATTAGTACAGATTTCTGTGTGAGTATTTTAGGAGTCTGGACATCTGGGAAACAAACAAGTTTCTCCATTTACATTGGTGTACCAACAGCGGGCTGAATCAATCTACATAAAACCTGAGAAAGTTTAGAAAGGAATCCTAGACACCAAAGAACAGAATTAAACATGGCTTTTTGGTAGCAGCATTTTCTCAGGTGGGCACTGTTTGCTAGAAGCAAGCAGAGGCAAAATTCCTTTAAGAGAGGTCTTCTTGACTCAGTGGTAGCAGAATATAATGCAGTTTCAAAATAGCAGCTCCATGGGTTGTGCTGTCAGAATGAACTCTGGCTATTTCAGGAGGCTGAGCACTTGAATGAGGTTTGTGGGCAGTGTGCTGCAAGTTACTTGTTGGCAGCATGGGCCAACTGGTTACTAGAGCTGAGGTGGTGAGTTTGGCTCCCTCCCAGCAGTCTCAGAGGCAGTGAACAGACCTCCACCATGTTGGACTGGGCATAGCCAAATAGCAAAAAGCTTTAGTCCTAGCCAAGCCACTTAGCATTTTAAGAAGTGGTCCTAGTCAGAAAAGGATTACAGTTCCACAATAGGAGAGCTTCAGACATAAAAGGAAATCAGAACCATGTGGGATGCGTTCACCCTCGGATACAAGGGGACTGATCGAATGAGAGTTCACGAAGGCCAGCTGGACTGGGACTGAATGAGCATGTGATCAAACCGGAATCTTTAAATGTGACTGACATGGGGGCTGACTGAGAAGCCATTGTCAATGGCACTGGGTCTTGTTTTGTCTGCATGTACTAGTTTTCTGGAATCCTAGTCTGTTTGGATGCT